CATGGTAAATCCCACTATGGGCCAGGGAAGTTCATAAGATTGTCCCTATATTTTAGGGAATAGAATTTGACTTTGTGGCAATAGGATTCATGATCACTAGATCCTGACAGAGGATGATATTCAACCTATCCCATCCTGGTTTATGACCAGATAAAAACAGCTGGGCATCTTTCAATGAGCTAGGCAGCCTTAGAGGTTTCTTTTTATCAAATCCCTGCTTCCTTTCACAGCACATTCGGCCACATCACCAGTGGGGTTGGAGGACAGGAAACGGTCTCTGAGTGGAAAAATCTAGCTGCCATTTCTGTGAACTCCTCCAGCAGAATCACCTTCTCAGCCACTGTTAAAGCAGCTGATGAACTGGCTTCTGTAGGCAGACAGAGAATGGTTCCAGTATCTTTGAAAAAAATATCTGCTTTAGTAATAACTCACTGTTTGCAGAGTAGCACATGAAAAAAAACACGTTCACAGGATGGATCTGGCCAGAGCGGCCAGACACTGAAGCTTTCCTTCACACTAGATGTTGGGCTGAAGCAGAGCTCAGTGCGAGCCCGCTTGAAAAACAGCTCCTGGTGCCATGGCCTTAGTCTGACAGGATACAACCAGGGTTTTGGAAACACAGACTGGTCTGGGTTGAAGGGACCTTTCAAGGTCATCCAGTCCAACCCCCCTGCAGGGAGCAGGGACATCCCCAGCTAGAGCAGGGTGCTCAGAGCCCCGGCCAACCTCCCCTGGGATAGTTCCAGGGATGGGGCAGCGACCACCTCTCTGGGCAACATATATCAGAAACATACAGTAGCAGGGTCTCTAATCTTCAAATACAGGAAGCATTAGAATGACCAAAGTGCAAGGCCATGCAACCACAAAGCAACACAGAACAGAAACAAGAGCACATTCAAGGCTGCATCTTCCGCTTACCACTGGTGCTGTTTTTTTCTGTCCCTTGCTTGTATCATTATGGGTCTAATGAGACCCAAGACACCTGGGAATTGCAAAAGAAATACCAGAAGTAATAATTTTTTCACCTGGGCAATATGAAGAAGATATTATTTTTTAATGGAATAATTATTGGAAGTTGATATTGCCATACCAATACCTAAAAAAAAAAAATCACACTTCAAAATTTAAAATGAACGTTCACTAAATTGGGAATCACAAAGTTTTTAAGGTAATCTCTTCTGGAAGAACAACTACTACAAACCATATTTTCTAGTTTGGGGGCTTGAGGGGGTGGGTGGTATCTCCTCTTATCACCTTTCTTCTATGGAAATGGGTGCGCTCTCAGCTCATAGCCTCATGCTGGTATCTTACATTGGATAGAAATACAACATAATTCCTCCAGAAAAAGTACCCTGAGTGTACTGCATATCATTAATCTATCAGAGAAGATACTTAAAAGTTTCCAGAGGTGGTCCTTGAGATTTTAAGGTAACTAAGATATTTTATAAGCCATTAATAAAAGTGTGAAGAACATTCCAGCAGGCATTTCTAAATACACATACTGTCATCAAATCTAGGGTTAGCTGTTCATGGCAGTGGGGAAACACTCTGTGCAGCAGCACCAGGAGCACCAGACAGCAGCGTGTGCTGGTGCACAAAGGGGAGCTCACCTTCCCAGAGAAGGACAAAAGCTAAGTGTGTGCACTTAGTTAATGTAGTTGACTAAGTAGCCAATGAAATGATGCAAATTGTGCCACAACCCTCGTGTGGAGAGAACATATGTGACACAACCAATAGCCCCTGAGGTTCAAGAAGCCACTATCATGGACTGTGTTTCTTGGTCATTGTTTCTTCCTCTCTGTCTTCATGCATATGCAGACAAGGTGACAGACTTACAAGAAAGCCTCCTGAGACCTTCCAAATCTCATTGTAACAATCCTGAGATGTGTGGACATGCCACTGGCTGCACCACAAACGTATTCTTCTCTAGTTACTCTGTGGGAGAGCACCAAATATATCAGCTGAAAAAGGTGCTTACATTTGCCAGGAAGACCAGGATGATGTTTTTAATACCACACTAGGCTGTAACTAGATGCTTGGGCTTGGTATATGGTTATGAGCTACCCAACGCTTCCTGAGATCACCAAAAGCCCCTTTTGGGTCTTGTATTTTTGTCTCAGGATGCAGTGTTAGCATATCTATAACGTGGTAGTTTGGATCTTAAATCAAAGTTGGTTGTTTTCCTAGTAATGCTATATTCCAGTAAATCTTGCAATCTGGACTACTGACCAGATCACACTAGATCATATCATATCAATACGGTCCCTCCTGTCATCTAAGTCAGTGAATCCAAGCTACAAAACCTCCATTCAAGTACTTTTAAAGCTGCATTTAAACCCAACACCTGACTTGAGGTACTTACCTGATTTGAGGCTGGCTAGCAATAAGAAAGAATGCTGTAATCCCTTAGCCTTACCTTCACACATGAAAAGAAAGAAAGGAAGGTCAAATAAGAACAGATGAAGTTTTCATAAGGAAGCTTTGCCATCTCCTGATCTGCTGCTGCTGCACCAAAATGAGACATCAGGACCTTTCAAATCTCACAGTTAATGTGGCCTCTCTACTGAGCTGTTCGTTTGATGATTTATTCTGGTTTTCAGACTCACTGTTTTATCCCCATCTTATGCAATAAAAACTCCATGCACTTCATGGCTTATTGAGATGCAGAAAAATATTGGAGAAGGCACTCACAGAATGGATTTCTAAGCAATTGTGTATGAGTGCCTCGTTTCTGCTCCCATCACAAACTGTGATGCACTTAGGTTTTTAATTGTTCACTTATTTTCATAGAACAACTGAGATTCAGATACTTTGCCCATGAAGACCTGACTAGCAGAAATAGGAAATTCAACAGTAAGAGCCCAACCTGACCCTGATGGAGGAACAAATAGGATTTCCTTACAGGGAATATAGAGGAAAATGAACCTGTAACAGTTCTGCAGGACCATCCTCAGGCAAACAATGAATACTTACACTAACACTTTTCAATTACTTCTACTTTGTAGCAATACTAAAGAACCACATACTGAAATCATAACCTTATAATTCTGCCAGATAGAAGGCTGTTGCTTTTAAAGAACACCAGATATTGCTATGAAGGTAAACCATCTAGTTACAGCACCCTAGTTCCTGGGAAAGGCAGCCGGAATCCCTGGGCTAGGAGCCTGCCTCACACCACCCAGCATCAACACATCAGTTACACCTCTGCGCAGCACCAGCTTCCTGCCTTCTTGCCTTTTGCAGTTTTACAGTTTGCATTCAGACCTCCACAAAGCCCAGGCACCTTTAAATGCCTGATCTCCTCTAGCCACTGCCTGTGAAAAGGGGATGTGTCTGGCAGCAGCAGGCAGGGGAAACAGCAGTGGCGGGTAGGAACCTGGAAAGGGCCAGAGCACTACAAGGGCAGAAGTCTCTTAAGCACATCCAGGTGCCCACAAAGGCTCCTTTACAAGTCTTACAAGCAGAGAAGATGGATTCGTTAGGAATCAGGCACTGACCTGAAGACACTTCAGCATCCAGAGGTCTGGATGAAGGAGACTGTAAGCAACGTTTTGCACACAAAGTATAGGCTGGCTGCTGTTGAGATGATTTTCTAATGCCTGGGGATCTAATACAAATTATCACTGAAGTTTCCAGTGGAGGCCTTATTCTCACTTCCATGTCAAAGCTGGGGAAATATTTTGCTATTCACTGTGAAACAGGGACCCTCTTAAATACCAGAGCTGGCTACATTTTAATAGAGAGAAAATGACTCTGTTGTAATTTATAAACAACTTCAGGATCAAAACTTTTTCTAAGATGTGGGGAAAAAAGTCTCAGTTAGGTTTCACAGGAAAAATTGTTTGCTCCATAGCTTATACTTACAGCTTCTTCCTCTCTGTAAGTTCAGATTTGGAGACAAGTGTTGTAAATTTTAGTACAAGATATGTAGATGATGATGTTTTTCATGTCAAGCTGTTGGACCCAATGAAGTGATGGAAGAATCTCATCCTTCACATTAAAAAAATTATGTTTCTGGTTAAGAAACATTATAAAAATGAGACCAACTACAGCCAGAAAAGCAGTGGGAAAAGGCAAGGTAACTGAAAAGATACAGAACTCACTGCATACATAAGGGTCTGATGGCTTGGTTAGGTGAAATGCTTGGTTTCAGGTTGACAGTGTTTTGGAATTCAGCTGAAAATATGTATGAACTAATGTATGGAAGAAAGCATGCTATGATCTCCTTGCTATACTGAGCACACTATTCACTATTGACAGCACATCTTACAGTTCCTAGGAAGCATAGTTTAGGGGTCAAGAACTTACGTCCGTTTGCCTGATTTCTGTATTGTTCACAGGATCTCTACGAAGGTATCTTGAAAGCACTTAGTGAAGAAGATGAAAATGAACAGGAAGAAGTTAAACTCAAGCAGGGCTTAAGTGAACTCCCTGAAATTTATGAATTGCATCAAGACATCCTGGGAGAACTGGAAGAAAGAGTCCTTAAATGGTAGGTATGGAATAGCATGGCCTAACCACCTACCCTTCACAGCACGTGAGTGCATCTGTCAGTGTTCCCTCAACCCCACTAGCAGGGAGGCTGGGATTCCTGCAGAGATGAAAGGGGTAGAACCTGAAGTACTCCAGCAGATTTCCCATATAGGCAGGAAGGACGTAAATGTAGAGGCTGTCAGGCTAAGAAACCAAATACTGAAATATTTGCAGAGTGCCCAGCCCAGGCCTCTGAAATGGCCCTGTCAGTCAGTGTGAGGACAACCTGCTTCCTATGCATTATCCTCTGATGCCAGTTTGTAGCCATGGCCCAGTGGCTTCACACTCGTGGCCTGCAGGTCACAGACTCATGCCATGGGAGGCAAGAACAAAAGACATCAGAACTGATCCTAAAGAAGACCATCTGCTTATAAAAATTTACACAGCAAATGCATAGCTCTCAGGTAGGGACAGCCCCTCACTCCCATCTCCAAGTCAGGGCTCTGCACAGGCTAGACCTCCACGGGCAGCCTGCTGAGGTATTCCACCTAAGCCAAGCATTCTTACAGGGTGAAGATTTTCCCTGAGAGAATAAGACCATGGCTAGGATAGACAAAGATCCAAAACGCATTCAGTTAAAGAGACCTCTGACTCAAGCCAGGCTGCCAGGCCCTAGTCTTACTGCTGGAATAAGAATGTCTAAGAGAAATTACCTCTGCAGACCAACGCTGTCTAAACCCACAGCAGCCAGTGTAGCCTCCGGCCTAGACTGCACTACTCTGGCTCTGACAGCTTATTGTGGAGCATGGAGCCCCTACACCTCTACCCTGCTGAACTCCAGCAGGTAGTGATCGCTGGCAGGGGCTCATCCTATCCCACCACTGCCACTGAGCAGTTAAGGAAGTCAATTAGGTCAGGAGAACTTCTCAGTAACAGTCCTAAATGCAAGGCACAGCTCCCCTGGTCAGCCCTGCACTTTCAAGTCAAAGCACACAACAAGGAGAGAAAAGGTTAAAGGGAACTGAGTGTTGGCTTATGTCCACCAAGGGACTTACAAATGGCAGAAAGACTTTCAAGAGTTCATCGGTGTGCTGTCTGATTTATGCACTCATAAACCAAACAGAAGTGGTAAAAAAAAAAAAAGCTGTATTGCACATGGTGCCAACACAAGATGACACAGGGTGTAAGGCTGCCCTCACCCAGGTTCCAAGGTCACCACTGCCCACAAACCTTCCAGTAAGTTCTTCCCTGTGCCTGTGCTCCCCTAGACACTGTTCCTCTGACGTCTCCCAAGAACTCATGTTCCTCTCTTTAATGATGACTGTTCTGCAATCTCATATTGTGTCCTGCTCTCTTCTTGTACATGTTTTGTCAATATTTCAGTCCTGTGCAACCGGAAGCTGAGACAGATGATGGTGGGGCAGTGCTGAGAAGGGGGCAATGAGGGAGAGCTGAAGATAAGATATGACCCCTGAAGTTATGTTCTCTCCCACAACCAATGCTCAAAGCAGTGCAGCAGAAGCTGTGTCCAGAAAGATGTTCTACCCCCTATGGACACAGTGCTGCCATGGCAAAGGCACAGCCAAGGGATCTGCCCCTCATGGTGCCCCTTCTACCACAGCCCATTTTGTTGTCCAGTGTGGCAGTGAAGTACTCCCTCTTTCCTGTCATTTAACCAAGGCTTTAGCTGCACACTGTTCTTAGCCACTGTGTGTCTAACACAATGAGAGAGAAGTAGGGCTCTTCTTTATTTTTTTTTTTATTTATTATTTATTTGCTGCTTCTTTTCTTTCTGTGGCCTTAGGGAGGAACACCAGAAAGTTGCTGATGTTTTTCTCTCCAGAAAGTCAAGGCTGAATCACCACACAGCATATATCATGCAGTTTGATAGAAATTTGGCTTTGCTAGATGAAACCTGCCTTAAATATTCCCAACTGGCTACTCTAATTCAGGAGTTTGAGGTAAGGCTCACAGGTTTGTTTACCTGCACTAATGCACAGCTGTGCCACAGCGTGCACTCAAAGGCCTTTTTTCTGCAGCCCCACCGGTGTTCACACAGGGTAGAATGGGAGAACAGCTGTTCTCACATGCATGATGTGCTTCTTTTTCTCTGTTGCCAGCACACCCCTGTGTGTGCATACAGAATGTGTGTTTGTGAATCTACAGATCTGCCAGTGTATTTTGCTGAAATATATGCACATAGTGGAGTAGCTTCTCAGTCACATTAATTTATCAAGCTCTTTGGGAATGTGTTAAGAGTTAATAGCTATTATTATTATTATTATTCTCATCTCCTCAGACCTCCTCTTCTTTCACTGTGTTTTACATCCTTTCTTTTATACTGGCTTTGCCCAGGATGAACTTGGGGTTAGCCTGTGTAGGTGCTCAGTTGCTGGCAGTGATCAACCCATAACATCCTTACAATTGCGTTTCTCTGCATTGTTAAATGCCTGCGAACTGCTTCCTCTGTTTACAGAGGATGTTGTGACAGGCAGCTCTGAACTGCACAGGAGGACATAAACTCCACTGGCCAGACACATACAAGGTTCTTTTCATCTATCTGCACTCCCTGAATGGTCGGTAACCTCTAGGCCTGAACCCTCTGGCCCTGTAGCAAGAAACACGTATTTTCCAGTTGTGTTAACTCAGGTCATCTGTGCTGAGTAACTGAAAAACATAATCCAAGTCAAATTCCATGATTCACGGTTACATTTGAAAGCACTTCACATAATTTCAAAAGCATGACTCTGTTGAACTAAAATGGTTAAAAGCTATGCTGTTTTCCTGGGGGTCTAGAACACCTGTTTCATATTATCTTTATCTGGTAAGAGAAATAACATTTAGGTGGGTGGCAGAGGGGCTGTAAGGATAAATTAGTGGTTGGAACTGGGAGGTTGTTTAGAATGCCAGCTCTATGTGGTATGGAACAAGTTTTTTCTTTGCAGCACATGTGAAATATTAAGGATAAAAATTAGTTTCAAAAGACATTTGGAAGTCAGCATTTACATATACCTTGTCACCACAGTTCTTTCCTGTTAGCAGCTGAGGGGAGCTCTGATGGCTCACTTCGCTCTGAACATGAACTTGGCAGGTGCAGACTTTCTATTGAGAGCCTCTATCCTCAGCATCCCTCCCGCCACATGCCTATACACTTCTGTCTTAGCTGTTAAACCCGAGAATTACATTTTATTTCTAAGAATGCAGATGAGGCTTTTCCTAGGATGAGATCAGCAGGATTTTGCCTAGAATCAGTGAGCTCTGTAACTTCTTGCCCTCTGGCATGCATGCATACACAAATGAGGGGGGAGTGTCTCTCAGTCTTTTCTTCCCGCATTTTTTTAAAGCAAGACCACTATTAGCTTTCCAGTCTAGCACCACAGAATTTAGGACCTCATCTTGTCTGGCACCTTTGGTCTGAGTATGGAGGCCTGGGAATGCCCAGCACAACCCTGAATGCTCATTTGGCAGTAGTCAGCTGGTCAGAGAAGCAAAACACTAGCAGGAACCAGCTCTACGGCCTTGGAGAACGCTGTCTCTTTATAGCCTTCCCATAAACAGTTAGATTCCTGCTCTCCTTTTGTCCCTTCAAAAGTGGCAAATACTTCAGAGATGTCGATCAATCAACAATGAAGCCCCATGACACTCAACTGTGTTTCGGACTCAGCCCTTGCAAGGAACCAGCTGGGTTTTGTGCCACTCCCCTCAGAACCTACAAGCTTCAGTTTCCTGGTGCTTCTGGAGATGTGGAGACTTTTGAGGATTGCTGGTTTTGCAGCAATGTTGTGACACTTAACAGATACACAGCAAGTTTCCTATTTTAATTGAATTTAATTTCAATTATAGAATAGAATCCTTTGAGTTGGAAAAGACACTTAAGATCATTGAGTCCAACTGTAAACCTAACACTTCACTAAACCATGTCCCTGAGCACCACATCTTTTAAACCCCTCCAGGGACGGGGACTCCATCACTTCCCTGGGCAGCCTGGCACAGGGCTTCACAACCCTCTCAGTGAAGAAATTTTTCCCAATTTCCAATCTAAACTTACTCTGGCTCAACATGAGGCCATTTCCTCTTGTCCTTTTGCTTGCTTCTTGGGAGAAAGGACTGACCCTCACCTCCCTACAGCCTCCTTTCCTGAAGCCCCTTTTCTCCAGACCAAGCAACCCCAGTTCCCTCGGCTGCTCTCTGGACCTTTCATCAGCTTTGCTGCTTTTCTTTGGATGCACTCTAGCACCTCAATGTCTTTCTTGTAGTGAGGGGCCCCAAACTGAACCCAGTATTCAAGGTGCAGCCTCACCAGTGCTAAGTCAAGGGGGATAATCCCTGCCTGAGTCCTGCTGGCCACACTGGTGCTGATCCAAGCCAGCATGCTGGATGCCTTCGTGGTCACCTGGGCACAAACTGACTCATGTTCAGCTGGCTATTGACCAACACCCCCAGGTCCTTTTCTACTGGGCAGCTTTCCAGCCACTCTTCCCTAGGCCCATAGTGTTCCATGGGGCTGTGGCCCAAGTGAAGGACCCAGCACTGACCCTTGTTGAACCTCATGCAATTGGTGTCGGCCCATCAATCCGGTCTGTCCAGATCTCTCTGCAGATCCTCTCTACCCTCAAGTAGATCAACACATCTACCCGACATGGTGTCATCTGCAAACTTCTTGCAGGTACCCATGACCCCTCACCCAGATCATTGATGAAGATACTAAAGAGAACGGGCTCCAGTACTGAGCCCTGGGGTACACCACTTGCAGCTGGCCACAAACTGGATTTGACTCCATTCACCACAAGTCTTTGGACCCGTCCATCCAGCTAGTTTCTTACCCAGCAAAGAGTATGCATGTCCAAGCCATGAACAGCCAGCTTCTTCTCCAGGAGAAGGCTGTGGGAAATGGTGTCAAAGGTTTTACTAAATCCCATGTAAACAACATCCACAACCTTTCCCTCATCCACTAGGTGGGTCACTTTGTCACAGAAGGAGATCAGGCTAGTCAAGTAGGACCTACCTTCCATAAATTCATGGGCTGACTGGACATGATATGTAGAGACATGGCAAATCTAAAGGGTAAAGGCAAAGAGAAAAATGCTGCTTCTTTTCTGTAAGCGTGCTAAATCAGACCTCAACCTCACTTTACTTTCTTGTAAACACTCTGGACATCGAGTTCCAACTCAATCACAGCAAGATGCTTCACTGTATTTTACTCAATTCCAAAAATCAAAATAAGATACTAAAAAGTTGCAGGCAGAAGAATCTTCCAGTCCAAAAAAAGAATGATGACAAGCTTCATTGAGTTTTAATACTTGTCTTCAGATGACACCCTAAAATCTTTGTCCAGCCTTAACCTTTTAAATGGTATTTCCTTCCCTCCATTTTCCCTCTGAGTATAAGCTATTTGTGAATGATGCCATAGGAAAGAAACTGTTTACAGTGCTGCTTTAGTCACAAAGACGATACTTCCTAGCAAGCTGGGTAAATTGGGAATGGTTCAATGGAATTTGTGCATGCAACTGGTAGGAACCTTTCATAGTACAGCCCAGGCAGAGAGGACGGTGTGCCGCTGAGCTCAGACACCCCTGATCTTTGTCTCTCCTCTCCCTTCCATTGAGGACAGCAGAGCTCTGGCGGCAGCCCTCGAAGTGTGAAACACCTGCTTCTGAAAGTGGTACAGCGTGTCTTCCAGTACCGTGTGCTGCTCACAGGTCAGTAAAATCGCTCTCAGAGACACTCCGCGGAAACCCCCCATGATGTTCTGTGCCTCCACTGTGCCACACATTGATGTCAAGAGAGCTAAAATAGGGCTGAAGCAGTGTGGGATTTCCTGGAAACTTCAATAAGCTTAGTACAGGATTCAGGAAATGTCAGGGAGCCTGGGAAGAAGCAAGCACAGGCATGCTGGAAGGTCTCAAGGAAAGGTAAGGTCAGGTGCTTTTAGCCACTCCTTGGCTTTTTCCTTCTGTGAATCAGGAGAGGCAGACTTCAGCCTCACTGCCAGTAAACAGATTGGACATTATTTATGTCAAGGGCAATTAGAAGAGACAGTAGGGTACAGTAATCCCCAGCAATATGACTCTGCACTGCATCCTGGATGACAGGGGCAAGTGCCATCTCCTTCTACTCCATCATAAAGCCCTTGTACCCAGCACTCCACCCTAAACCTTGTGCACAGTACACCTAAGGTTAGTGATAAGCTTAAGTCAAAATCACAGTCCAGTTTCTTCTCTACACTGTAAGAGTCAGAGATCCAAATTTACATTAACACTACATTGACAGATCTTACATTTACAGTAACAACTTCCCTTTACATTCGGGACCATATGTATCACTCCCACCTGGAATCTCCCCAGAGGGGGTTGTGTTGCCTCTGATGGCTCAAACTCTGCAAGCCACAGTAAATCTAGCAAGTCCGAGCCTGAGCACTGAGCAAGCCTTCTGAAGCAGGATATGGTCCCTAGAAAGAACTGTCAAGCTTAGGTTTGCAACTAACAAACTGTTTGGGGAAGGAAATGGTAAAGTATAACAATGAATCTCAGTGTTTTCAAGTCACACAAAACACAGAACACAAAAGAGCAAAGATCCATAGACATAAAGATGGAGAGATGCTTTGAGAGTATGTGTATGTGTGGGTGGAGAGGGATGCAAGACGAATTATACATGGGACAGTAAAAAGGAAGCCATAAACCCTGCCCATACTCAACAACGGATGAGGGGCCCAGCATATTAGAAGGGACTTCTATAATGTAGCAGAACAAAGCAACCATATGAAATTTTATTCACAGCACAGATTAGCAGCAGTTTCATCTTGCTCCAGTCACTTTGATCAGGGATGCAACTCATTATTCACAGCTGGTTTTGCTTTTTTAGTATGAGCAATAAAAATGAACACCGGATGCCAATAGTAGGACTTTTTTTTTTTTTTTGTCTGACTCGCTTCCCTCTCTGGGTGTGTCTACAGTAAAGGCAACTTCCCAGATTTGGGGGTTGCAGTACTTAGTCTCACACGATGCTTACAGTTTTTTCAGTGTGTGCACACAAATACTGCATCTAAGAAAAGGGACTTGGAATGTCCCTGTCGGAAATATCTCCACTAAGTTCCATTTTCTCTGCCCATTTCTGTGATCCACAAGGTAAATTGAAAACATGAAGCATGGTATTTTGTGAGAGAGCTGTAAGGGTTTCAGGGCAGCTCCAGTGATGTCATTCCACCTATGCCTGAAGCAACTTGAGGTTCTCCGTGTCCCAGGTACTGGCACTAACTAGGAAAATGCAAGCTTTCATGTGTAGTGAGATAAAGTCTGTTGGAATAAGATATTCTTTACTATAACTTTAATAGTAATAACTTTACTGCTTTAGTCCCTAACCTCAAGAAACCAAGCCACTCTTTGCCTGCTAGGACAGAGTGGGTCTGGAACAGTGCAGTCCTTCAGGTTCTCTAGGCAGTGTGGGGGAAGAAAAAAAAAAAAAAAAAACCACAAAATATGCAGGTGTACTTCTGTGTTCATAACAGGCTGTTTCTCCAAGATAAGGAAGCATGTTTTATGAGGCTATTGGTTGCCAGTTGCTGCTACAGCCAAAAGGAGTTACCCACAGGGTTAAACGTCCATAGCCAGGGACAGAGCTTGCAGCTGTAAAAAGGAGCACTGAGTAGAGCCTGGTAACACCAAACAACCCCTTCCTGTCCCAGCACAGGCAGCTGCCTTCCTGAATGCATGTGGAAACCAGCTAGATTTCAGGACACCAGGGAGAAAGAGAAACGTATATGGATAGGACATTTAAGGGAACAGACACACACAGCACCATTCTCAGCCTAGAGGCCTCGCTCCTGGATGCAGAATTTAGGAGCATGGATTCATCAGAAAGACAAGAATTAAGTACTTCTGGATTAAGTTTTTCAAATGGTAGCACTCATATACTACAGTCATTAAAAGCATAAAGCCCTAGACAAACAACAGGCAGATGAACAAGAGCAAGTAGTCCAAATAAACCTGACAGGTTAACAGTTTGCATATAATGCAAACAATTCCTATAAGTGTAAATCCTATTGTGTGTATTTTACAGAACCTATTTTCAGAATGTGATTGAGTTCAGTAGTAATCATTGAACTCTGCATGTACAGAACCAGTCTCCTTCCTGTGTCTATAAAATGCATATACTAAAAATTCATATAATACAAATACAGCAAATCAGTCGTTACAGCAAACACCATTCATTCGGATGGGAAAACAGAATTCATTGGAAGAACAATTATTTGTAAAGTAGTGGTATTCAGCAATTCTCCTGGCTGAGAAACAAGGAAATATTTTTGTCACTCTGTTTATTCCTTTACAACTGCCAAGTTACATGGTAAGTCCAAATCTGTATCAATGCTTCTGCATTGATTCTCAAAGTACAGTGCTATCAAGGATGAGTTTTGGTTTGGAAAGAGGCCATATACACTTAATTATTTGGGAACAAATTTATATGGCTCATTACTGTGGATGACCCACCGCTGGACGTGTTCAAAGCCAGGTTGTATGTGGCTCTGAGCAACCTGATCTGGTTCCAGATGTCCCTGTCCATGGCAGAGGGGTTGGAACAGATGATCTTTGAAGGTACCTTCCAAACCCACATGATTCTATAATTCTACGATTAGGATTTTATGCTTTAGCTAATAACACTACAGATTATGTAGATATGTATTCTGATTACTGTGTGTCTGTGATTATTTTCTACAGATTACTTGAATAATCTTTGCCCTGATTCTACAGAGTATGAAGCTACACAAGGTAAAATGAAATGGGTGGAACAAAAATTCTGCTTTGCTAACTCTGCTTCGAAAGAGATACAGAATCTCTATTGGGACTATATGGAAGAGAATTATTTTCAAGATTTTGTGTTAATAGGTTAGATGTAAGATCTGTAAACACTGATTACTAATAGATAAATTATTTAGGGCAAGAACCCTATCTTTTTTTTTCATTGAAACATGTAGGCTTCCTATAGCTTTGACATGATGAACTTACAGAGGAAGAAACTATCATCTATATAAGCATGGTGCAAACACTGTAGTTCTGCCCCAGCCACCAGAGAAATCCTAGTCTCCTTTGGCTCCATCCATGTTTGGCTTAGTCACTGCAAAGGCAATTGGGATGGCCCCACCTGCTTGTTTGCAAACCATTATCTGTGGTTTGCCTGCTCTGCGAACTTTGGGGAAACCCAGGGGGTTTGGATTTTTATCTGTATTCTGGATTACTTAAACCTAGTAAACTTGAAAGATGTTGCATAAAATCAGTCCTGCATAATTAAGAACAAATCCAGATGTTCAGCTGCTAACAACATCCTTTCCAACATGTGAGGTGGATACAGCTGAAGTCTCTTACTCCCACTGAAGTCAAAGCAAGGTTTAGCTGTGGCCTCACTGAGAGTATCTTCCAGGCTGAAGTAAGCAGGAATAACACTATTAATGAAACCAGTTCACCTCTGTTACACTGAGCGTAAATCCAAACAACTCACAGCAATAACGTCTGTGACTGGCTGAAGGTCAGTCTGTTCTGACCAGGAGTAGAGCCTCGAGCAAGATGTAGGGCTCTAGTCACTAGTAGTGGGACTACAGCTTGTCAGTAGTTTATACAAGGCCAGGGTATATGCTCAAGCCATGTGGCCACAATTGCCTGTCTTGTTTGTGGTTAGCACATGCTTGTCACATTTCTGGCCAGTGATGGCTCTCATGCTGCCAGGTTATGCCCAGAAATGGACAGGATGCTCTGATCCATAGGGGAAAGAGATCTGAGGTAAGGACCTGAGCCCTGTTATGCCACTGCTTTCAGGGCCAGCAGACTTGCCCCGACCCAGGTTATTTGCCAGTGGAGAATCCAGGTGTTAATTCACGTTACCACTTCATACATACTTTTGTCAGAAAGTGGTGACCGGTCCTCTCCATTGGCAGCAAGGGGAAACACATCACCTTAGATTATCATGCTTTAGGATGGCTAAAATTGGGTTTAAAAATCTGCAACTAGATCTAAACTTCATCTGCAACATCACAAGGAGATTTGGTGTTATGCTAGGTGCTTGAAAGGGACCTCATGAGCTCTCTTGGTCAGTACAAGTACGATGCAGACTTTTGCACATGAGAACGATGAAGGGAAGAGGAACTGACAGCACCGTGCCTCCTCTGAAATTTGCTGGGCAGTTGCACTCTAAAGGTGCCAGAGAAGTGAAAGGAGCTGCTGGGGATGCTGATTGCTTTTTTTTAACAATGCCTTTGCAAATAGAAGAGATTTGAGTTATTTTCCTACTCTTTTATGTGATTTATGGTGTTTGTTTTGCTTCATCCCTCAGCTGCCTTACTCATGGTTTCTGAAATGACGGACCGAGCCAATGACAGCATGCTGCAGGCGGTGAGTTCCCCCGGCACGCGCGTGTTCCGGCCGGCCGCTGACGTGAACACACGTCTGGCAAAGTTCAGAAGCCTCCTCCGGTGTGAGCCTCGAGGGCTGACACACATCTGGCATACAGCATTGCTGGTATGGAGTCGGTCTGTGCCCTTTAGTGGAGCTGGGCAAGATGCCACCGTAGCAAGCAGCACAAAGTTTTTGTCCCTCTTGGGACTGCTGAAATGGTATGTGGAGCAATGAAGTGAGAGATGGGAATTTTCATGGTTCTATTTCTCACCTGGGATGGTTTTAGATATGAAATGTTGAAGGCATCACAAATGTACTGTCAAAGACAGAAGAAGAAATAAAATATCAACCATAGTAAGAGCTTGGTTTCAGGCAGGACTTTGAGTTTGAAAGAAAAAATGCACAGGAATTGTGAGGGAAAGACACACGCTGGAGGCCTCTGCAGCTGCGCACCAGCACTGCTGAGTGAGCCTATCCCCACCAGAAGTGCTGGGGTTTAAACCCCCAACCTTGAATGAGGGTGGACATATGGAAGATGTCCACAATCAGGCAGGAAAGCCCCTCCTGACTGGTTTCCACCCATAGTCTGGCCATCCTTGGGTGGGAGCTGATGAGGAGATCCCCACCAGGTGCCCCCACCTTCAGCATTAACTTGGAGGTGGGGAAAGAAACCTGACTGCTGGTAGTGGGCTTGGGGGAGCTGTCTGTACAGCAGATGTGCTGTGTGGGGATTCTGGCTGTCAGAAAGGCTTCCTGACTGTACAGTAAGTGGAGTTCACTGGACAGCAGGGAGAAAGATGAGTCCCTGCTACATAACTGGACTCATTGCCTGGCTAATTCCATCTCCCATGGCTTGGATCCTCGGCCAGCTTGCTCCCTTCTTTACAGCCTATGCAGTGAGTGAGTGTATCAGCTTATTCCTCCCTCCAGTGGTGTGGCACCTTGGATTGTCTGCAGATGATTTAAGAGCAGAGGGAGGAATTTGGCTGTTAGTCTGCCTGTTAATGATAATATCTTTCTATATGGGCCAAGTGGTCAGCAGAAGACTGCCTTCAATGCCTTTGTCCTCTGGCTGCAAGGGAATGGAAGCACTGGGTGAGGTAGTGAGTTCAGACTGTGTGACATGGTAAAAATGCAGTATGTCAACTAGATGAAGGACGTTTTTTGCAATAGCTTGGAAGGTAAAAATGGAAGAGTGTCAGAACTCAGTGTGCCCTTTGTCTGTTAAAACTGAAACTTTCATGCCTCGTTCAGAAAAATAAAAACATCTGCTTGCAGCAAATGAACCCAAGAGCCAAGGAAGTCAACTTTTGCTCACATCTGGAAATCTCTGTTGCTCTGGTTTAAAAGCCATGTCTCCAATATGTGTGCCCAAGTCATAACTGAAGCCTGTGTGTTCATGAGCTGCTTCAGAGCACCAAGTTCAGTGATAATCTCCTTATGGCTAGCAGCAGACAAAACCCAAGCTTTCTAATGTTTGTATCAGAAAGGAATAAGTTGTAGTTAAAACTACTTACTGTTTCCTGAATAGAGAAACCATCAGTCTCTGTGGATTTACCTCCTTCCCCATCTGATAGCTAGAAACTGAGACTGAGGCTCTGAAACTGCTTTTCCTGAAGCTAGTGGCAAAATTACCACAGATCAATGTGAAGTCCAGCTGGTGGGTTTCTAGTATTGTATGGAGGTGATCTGAAGCTGTGACAACAGATCAAGATTTTTAGCATTCTAAAAATCAAGGGTTTTAAGGTCAAAACTCAAAATTCAGATCTGCATTTTTGCTCGATGCAAACTTAAAGAAGCTTGGGCATGTTGACTTGGTTTAAGTCCATTTCTGCTTTTCTGCTCCAAGCATCTCTACTCCCAACCCCATCCTGGCACACCTACCTCAGAGCACATTCCCTCTTTGTACAATAACATCAGCCCATTGGTCATTTTGATGTGCCTCTGTGACAACACAAAACCTTCAAACCTTCATTTGAAAAACAGCATTTTTTTTAACTCCTCCTGATTGCTAAGGAAAATTTCCAAACATGAGCACGCTCCATGAAGAAATCACACTCTGCTTCAGCAAACAAACAGCCTGAACACTTTTGCTGAGTGTAAACTGGCAGCTACCCTTATCTCTTGGTTGCTTACTTTCAGCCTTATTTAAAGACATTTGGCATAGCAGCACAAACTATTTTGTCATCAGCCATTACAGTAGATAGGATGGGGAGCAAAACTGGGAGGGAAGTCTTTCTAGATTAAATGGTTGTTGCATTACAGCCAGAAGTAATGGTGAAGGAGAAGAAAGGAGAGAGAAAGAAGCTTAGCAGAAAAGCAAAGTGCATGGAAACAATGATGTTCTGGATTAGAGTGATGTTCAGCACCGACAGCAAAAACCAGCAGTTTTTAACTACATAAACAACATTCTGTTACCAAGACAAAATAACAGATACAGATTGCATGTAGCATGTGATCTACAAAGCCTAGAGTTTTACCATTACAAGAAATGCAATCTAGTCCCTCTACAGAATGACCCTGAAACTACAGACTTACGGAGCAAAGTTTTCAACAGGTTTGATTTTCCTCCTCCTCAGGCAAACAATTTATAATCCTACTTTTCCATTAATAAAGCATTCTTTGTATCAAACCAATACATATTTTATGATAAAACAGATCTCAGGAAAAGTTTCCACAGAGCTCTAGGTACACCTGTATTACAGGCTGAGAAATGTAAGATCTTGCTTCCTAACAGATCAAGGTCACACATCTTTTTATGTCACCTCTCTTTCTTTAGATTTCACTCAGGTTTATGGGAGATTTGTATGAATACTTTTCTGAAGTTAGAAGTATCCATAAGTGGCCAAAATAAAATCTGCTGTGTTGCATTACCATGCAATGTTTTTCTCTCCACTAAGCCATCCTTTAATTTGAAGAACTTCATCATCTTGTTTGAGTTTTACAGATGTCACAGACTGTATAATAATTGCTATTAGTAATGTCTATTTTGGAACTATTTCATCACAAATTCCACAGAGTTTTACACTTCATTTTTTATCATATCATGTGAAATGCTGGGGTTTGAACCCCGAGCCCCAAATTAAGGTTGACATATGGATGATTCCCACAGCCCGTCATCCAGAGGGGTGAGTTTGCCTTAGAGCTTCCCCCCAGGGTGCGGCCGGCCCTGCAGGGAGAGCCAGAAGGGAAATGAGCCCCAGGGGTCCCGCAGTGAGCTGACAAAGGTCAGGGGTCTGCTTGGGGATAAAAGCTGGGACCACTTGCAGGGAGTCAGGAGTGTCTGTCTGTGGAGTGCACTCCACAGAGCTGCCTGGTTCAGGGCAGACCTCCTGACTCTCCTGGAGCTGGGCCCCAGTCTGTTTAGACCTTTGTGAACATGGGCGGATCAGGTGAGAGTCGCCATGTGGGCACCTTTCTCTGCTGTGTTCAGCTTGCTGGGCTGGCTGTTTCCCATGCCAACTGTGGGCAACCTCGGCTCTCTGTTTGTACCCCCTGTTGTGGGCCGAGTTACATCTTTTGTGGGATCGTTGGGGGTGGTGTCAATTATGTACGAGCTGATTGAGATGTTTGTACCCCCGGCAGTCATTGTCTACAATACAGTCTGAGTATTGTATTCTCTTCCTGCTGGTTGTGTCATTCCTGTTAGGCCTGATCATTGGCAAAACAATCATGAGAGCACATCTGCTCTTTTCCAAAACTGTGGCCTGGAAGAGATGAACCAAAATTTCCTTCTTTCCCATTTGTGTGAAGGCGTGGGTTCATGAGAATCAAAGTTCAATATTCAACTAAATCATAGGTTGTCCTCCAGAATTAATATCCCATCCACAAATGCCACAGCTAGCAGTTCTTTTCTTTCCAATTTTAAAAACACGCAAAGACTTTAAGAAGTTACTCCAATCACAGAACAAAATGAGCAATGCCACTCAAGACAGAGCTTTAATAACTTGTCATGTACCTGGCTGAAGTTCTAAGCAATAATTTAGACATGGTATGTACCTGGAAGGAGGAAGATTTCTGCTGCCCCTTAGCAGCTCATCAAACTACACTCCAAAAATCTGACAGGGGCATTGAATTCTGATCTATATTTTCTGCAGAATATCAATGTTTCTTTGTTTGTTTATGACAATAACACTCTAGCAGTTCTTCTCTGGGAACTATTAACCCAGGATTTTTCAGACATATTATCATATTAACTATATCCCTAGCATTTTCATCAAGTAGGAAAATATTATTCACCATTTACAGATCTGCAGACCGAGGCAGAAGGCATATCCCCACCACATAGCATTAAGTCTATCTGCAACTCCAGGAGACATTCACTACTTGAAGTAAGCAGGGTTTGTACTGCTCTCTGAAACTCCACAATCTGTTAGCATCTAAGGGCTATAAATCATTGTTGCTAATAACAGCTGGTGAATTCCCTGGGGAGGTGTTCCTCCTGCAGACATAATGATAATAGGATGGAAGCTGCAGTTCACTGCTAAAACGACCAGAGAAGAATTTCACCCACCCACATCTGCAGTACTAGTTCGGTGGAGCTTTGATTTCACTTTTTAATTGTAGCTTGAGAAGGGTATTTGAAAGGAGAATAATAATAGTTTTAAGGAGAATTAAGAGAATGACATAAACAGGGAATTTTAGGGGGACTGTAGGGAAATGATACCCCCTCGGCTGCCCCCCTTTCTGGATAAATCACTGTCCTTCACATGTGATGGCTGTTCAACTTCCTACAGGAAATGAGTTTGATACATCTCTGTCCACTTCCTGACGAACACGTGTCCATACTGCAAATGTCAGCATTACAACAAGAGCCTCTGCCAGCAGTCCTAAAAAAAGCTGAGGTGTATCTGAGCTGCAGCAACTTCTCTCACTCTTGTAGCAACCACAATGAGTAGTACTAGCACTGGCTAGGAGTGTGCTCACAGGAGGGCACTGCCTTTTCTGTGGATGAAGAATGGGTTTCCATTGTGGAAGCTGTCAATCTGACAGGTTTTGCTAAGGATAAAATTCCCTTTAGTGATGGGAAAGTCCTTTGTAAATGTCTTTTGCAAATGTCAGCTGTCCCACGATCCCCGATATTTCCTGTGCTATAGTTTATACATTCTGTTTCCATTTTGCTGGCTTATAATACTTTAGAAGTGACATGAAAAATTCATCTTTTTACTTCCTGCACTGCAAAAGAGATACTTGGCAGCTGAAATTCTTGAAAATGTGTCAACTGCCAGTTATACTGTATGGTCACAATGCGGCCCTGTGCTGGTCAAGGCTTGTAGGTGTTTCCATATGATTGATATGCTGTTACTGATTAAGAACTAAATTGGTGTCATGCTACACGAGTGCAATATTTCACTAGGGCAGTAACATATGGAAGTACGTCAGGCTTATCTCAAAAAACAAACTGAGATAAGTACATTAATTGTGTTAGCTGAAATCCATCCAATGTTGACATGGATGTGCTCCTTCTAGTATATGCGATAGCTTTCTTAATTAGCTGATTCTGTAGACAGCACTGATTTGTATCGGTCAGATACACTGCACTATCTAATTGAGTCTAACTCAGCTCAGAGGTATCTTAATGCCAGCCAGGAGCACAGGAAAGCAGACCATGACTTGTCATAGCAGAAAACTATAGTCAAAGGCTGCCAGATCGTGAAGGTATATCAGATATGGTCCTTGGTCTGTGCATTGTCTGGGTGTGTAACTGAGGATTTAGGGTACAATGGAGGCTCCTAATTTTCAGACATATTCCAGGGATGACTCATGGCTGCTGTGCAGCTCATTCTGCTGTTCTGACCAATTAAAACCACAGCCGAAGCCTATGTATATGCCTCAGGTTTAGCAGCCTTACCTGCTAAATGAAAGATTTTAAAAGACTCTAGCAATAATGCAAAGGCACAGACATCCCTTCTTCCTCCTCCATATATTCATACAATAACATTTTTTTTAGGAGAGCAGAGTCTTTGCCAGATTAATCTTATTTATCATCTCCACAGGTAAGTTCATGCCACATGCCAGCGCCCATTGACTATCTGTGCTTTAAGGCAGTTAATAGTATCACAGTTTGATAATGAACTTCTTAATTTTTGCAAAGCATCAAAAGAGAGACGCAGTTTCATTGCCTGCTTACTAGTTAACCTTCTAAATCCCCTATTGCAAAGCCATTAATCCATTATCATAGAATATAAACCTCCGGATAATGCCAGCAACAGTCTTAGAGTATCGAAGCCTGCTTTGGATCGTCCGTGTCATGCCACCAATGCACACACCTGTGGAGCAGATATTGTACTTTGTTTCCAGTTCATTAGTTGCCAGAGCAAGAAAGTCAGCAAAGAGGCTAACATCTAAACACCGAATGGAGGAGGCAGGCCCTTCTGAGTGTGAACAGAGGGGTCAGAGGTAACAAGACTGTAGAAGGCCACAGCACACGTGAGTGCAGGTGATGAGGTTTTATAAAAATGGCTGGAAGAAGACTTCATGGGCATAAAATCCCTGGGCTCTGTTCTCTCTGAAACCTAACCCTGTAATAACACTTTTTAGAGAAATAAAATGGTGAAGAGGGGTAGGGGAAGGTTTGCCTGATTGTCTAAAGAACAGTTACCGTGCAGTCTTCAAAACGCTGTTTCTCTCCTCCAGGAGAACTTGCAGAAGCTGGTACACATTGAGCACAGTGTGAGAGGGCAGAGCGGGCTCCTCCAGCCAGGAAGGGTGAGTGCTGCAGTCCCGTGCTGATTAGTGCATTGCTTCTGGCCGGCTATATCTCCAGTTGTGTGGATGGCCAGATTTCAGGTCTACAGGTGTCGTTTAGTGAGCTGCTGTGATAAGAGTTGAAGCACTGTTTTGTGTAAAAAGCCATCACTCTGGCAGTGTGCAAAGAGCTATGCCAGCAGCCTCAAGATGGGAAAGACATGCATTGCCCCTGCTTTTACGTAGAGCAGCCATCTGACTCTCACTCCAGCTGTCCTCATCCACCCCACGTGCAATGTCTTTTGATGGAGTTGATGTCTTCCTATATACTCCTGTTTGAAAAGCTGCAACACTAGCAGGAATTGTGTGCAGCCTGGAAAGTCTCAGAGTTTGATCTGGCTGGGTAAGAGCCTTGAATCAGGTGAAATTATTTGT